TAGTGAGGCAGGTAGAGCCAATTTGGGATTTTGTTTCTCTTTAGGGACAAGACCTCAATCCTAACTGGTCATACTAACTGGACTGGTCAGTAAACAATTATGGAAAAGGTGGCTGTGAATTTGAGAGTGACACAGAATGGGGGGACAGGTGAAAATGATACAAATGCAGTGACCAGCCGGGCAACGGTGGCACCCACCTTTAATCCCAGCACTCGGGAGGCAGAGCCAGGCAGAGCTCTGTGAGTTTGTGGCCAGCCTCATCTACAGAGCAAGATCCAGGACAGGTGTCAAAAGTACACAGAGAAACCCTGTCTCAAAAAAAACACAAACAAAAACAAAAGGAGTGATCCACAATCTCCTCTCTCACTGGGGAACATTTGTGTCCACAAAAGAAGGCTTAGGTACCAAATACTGAAAATGACAAAACCATTATCAGGATGGAGGGATGTTCTCTCTTCTTACTCTTTGGTGGGGCTTCCTAAATTGCCATCACATTGGCATACTCACAAACTTGAGGGTGTGAAGACTTATATACGTTTATTTAAACATGGAGAGTATTTTGTAAGCATTTGTACACGACATTAAAATGAGAAATGGTTTAATAGTTTGTAATCTATTGACATAAGATTTAGTAATGAGAGAATATGGTCAATGTTTGGAAGAATGTAAGAAGAGGTATGTTAGGACTGGAGAGGAAGCCCAGTGGTTGAATGTTTCCTGCTGTTCCAGAAGACCTGAGTAAGATTTCCAGCACCCCTGTCAGGCAGACATCAACGACCTGTAACTCTAGCTCAAGGGATATTCAATGCCTCTGACCTCCTGGGGCATCTGTATTCATGGGCACATCCACATCCACCCACCCACACATAAACAAAATTAAAACTAACTTAGAAAAAGAGGAGGTGCATACCCCTTTTAAGCATATAGTTTGGATTTTTGTTATTTGTGTTGGAATCCTTTTACTTAGAAACATTGGAATTTCAAGAGGAAAGCAGAACACAGTTTCCACATGATTAGCTAAAAGGGGCAAATTTTGGAATCTCTTTGAAACCTATTTTAAAAGCTCAGCTATATGCTTTTTTCTTTTCCTATTACAGAGCCATGAAATGTTATTTCAACTGGATTGCAAACATAACTTCTAGAGTGTAGACACTTGCTATTATTTGTTCACTTCATCAAAATGCTCTTTTAAATTCTTGCTACATCTGTATTACTGCGTCCTGAAGAAACCCAGGTGACGGAGGCCCAGAAGAGGCCAAACCACCTTCCTATTTCTAACAAAGGAAATGCCTTCCTGCCACTAAATTTTGGAATGATTTCCAAGTTCTCTAAAAATAATTTAACCTGTGTCAAATAGCTGTCTCTCCTGGAAAACTCAATAAATGAATGTAAAAGTCAGAGAGTGCCGGGAAAGTGAGGTGCCACGCTGAAATGCCATAGCACAGCCATATCGAGGGAGACGCTAAATTAGCAAACACATGTCCATACCTCTGCCCTCTTCTCTTTAAACTTGAGCTATATTATTGTAGAAAAAGCATAATAATCCCTACTCTGATCTTGTATTTCAAATGAAAAAGCCTGAGACATTACAGCACAGGCACTTTCGTGAAGAGGTTAAATATTATGGGTGGATATATTTCCTCTGAGGATCAGCATTTCTGCATTCAAAGGACAGGTTATACAGTGAAGAAAAACAGGAGGTAGAATGCATAAATTATTCCAATGACAAGGGTTCTAATTTTACATTGAACTTTAGCTTAAGGAGGACATGCCTATTAAATGATAGGCCACTTTAAACAATAGTTAGATTCTTTAGAGTATTGTGGAAATTACAACTTGATAGTCAAATCGCAGTTCTCTTGAACTGTATAGATTATTATTTAAAAGGCTAAAGTTATTTTAAAATATGTGTATATGTCAGAGGAAGATATGTGCACATGAGTGCAGGTGCTGGCAGATGCCAGAGGCATCAGATCTCCTGTGCCTGGAATTATAGGCAGTCCTTAGCCACCTAACCTGGCTACTAGGATCCTCTGCAGGAGCAGTATGTGGCCTTAATCCTTAAGCCATTTCTCTAGTCCACTGCACAACTTTTTATGTGGAGAAACCTCAGGTTAATCCTTACAATGCAAACATAAATGGTATACTTGCTTTGTTCAGAAGACCTAGAGTTTCAATAGACTACTTTCTTAACTTTTAAAAGTGGTAGTCATTTAAAAAGCACTTTTTAATTCTCTTAAAGTCATCTGCAGAAAAATTGGATTTTGTACACCTTGGACTGTGACTTTTCTTTCGAATGGCATCGATTGCTTGTTAGTCCATCTGTGATATCTCGCTCTTATTAATTTTCCTTATACCAGTCAGCAAGAACTTATGCAAATTACCATAGCTCCCCTTCTTTGCAAAAATTTACAAGTTAACTCTTTCACATTAAAAATGAAACCAGAAAAAAAAGTTTGAAATCAAAATGTTTCCAGCGCACTTTTGGTCACCTTGAATAAAAATTTTGAGTTTTTATTAGACAGTTTTTGATTACTATAGCAAATATTAAGACTACCAACTTAAGAAGAAAAAAATGTTTGTTTGTTAATTGTTAATTTGTTATTAATGGTACTCTCCAATAGAAGACATGTGGTTTTTAGGAGAGATGATGTGAACTACTGTCTACTCACTTATAAGGTATCACCCCATGTGGTTCCCAGAGCTGACTGAGGTCTATTTGGAGGTGATGAAGGTTTAAGATGCAGAGCCTATAAATAGTCTTCAAGTCACTGGTGTAACCCAGCTGAGGAAAGTGGAGGCATCTCAAGGCTTTCATTCCCTAACTTTCCCATTCTGGCCACAAATAAGCAGATGCCATGAACAAATTCGTAATGGTATGTACTCCTCAATAATAAGTAGCCCTCCATTAGAGGCCTAAAAGCAGCAGGTCCAATGAGTTGCAACAGCAAAAACTGAACAAACAGGTTAAACTTTTTTTCTTCTTAAGTTGATAGTTTTAGTATTTGCTATAGTATTTGTTATAGATTTAAAGTATTTGCTTAGTATTGCCATAAAGCTGACTGATAAAAACCCAAAGAAGAGTTTTCTTCAAGGTGACCAAAAGAGCGCTGGAAACATTTTGATTTCAAACTTTTTTTTCTGGTTTCATTTTTAATGTGAAAGAGGCAACTTGTAAATTTTTACAAAGAAGAGGAGCTGTGGTTATTTGCATAAGTTCTTGCTTATGCAAGAAGGAAAGTGAAACTCCATTTGTCTCAAGAATCATGCAGTCCGGATGTGGTGGCACTTGCCTTTAGTCCCAGCACTCAAGAGGCAGAAGCCAGCCTGGTCTACATAGTGAGTTCCAGGAAAGCTAGAGCTGCAGAGTGAGACACTGTCTCAAAATAACAACAACAACAACAACAACAACCAGACACGCAAATTCATGCTGAGTTCCATTTCTCTCATAATCTTTTATATTTACTTATTTTGGCTTTTGAGGTAGAAAGAGATAATGTATGAAGCACCTGACATTTTCCCAGAATGTGCTGAACATTTTACTAACAGCTTCTCATTTGCAAAGACATGGGCACTACGTATCAATGGCAAATATAGGCAGAAAGAAATCTCATTGTTTTTCCTTATCAAATTCAGAGTCTGTCCTCTCTGTCAATGGAGAGGAAAATCTCAAGTAAGGACAAGAAATATAATTCTGTGCTCTTCCTCCCTCCTTTTTTTTTTTTTTTTTTTTTTTTTTTTTTGGTTTTTCGAGACAGGGTTTCTCTGTGTAGCTTTGCGCCTTTCCTGGAACTCACTTGGTAGCCCAGGATGGCCTCGAACTCACAGAGATCCGCCTGCCTCTGCCTCCCGAGTGCTGGAATTAAAGGCGCGCGCCACCTCCCCTCCTTTTATAGTTACTGTCTTTTAACAAATGATGAAATGGGAAGAGTCCAGAGTGGGAGAGGGATATTAACCCAGAACTGCACACTGCTGATGTGAAAAACAAAACAAAACCATTGCTTGTGTGTGTGTGTGTGTGTGTGTGTGTGTGTGTGTGTGTGTGTGTGTGTGTGTGTATGGGGGGTGTATGTGTGAGTGAATCTGTGTGCGAATGTGTGGGTGTCCATGAGAGCACAGAAACTTGTTTGTGTGCATGTGGAGACCTAGGTTAACACTGGAAATTTTCCTTGATTACTCTCCATCTTATTCTTTGAGGCAGAGTCTCTCAGTTGAACCCAGAGCTCACTGATGAGTCTTGGCTAGCTAGCCAGTTTTCTCCAGGGATTCTCATCTCCACTTTGTGCTGGAATTATGTGTAGCTCATGTTCGTCTGACATTTAAGTCCAATGCACTATCCATTGCACTACCAAGCCATATTTAAGTGGGTTTTGAGCACCCACACTCTGGTCCTAATGCTGATGCTCAGTCATCATCCCCCAAGCCCTCCTGCTGCCTTTTATGTTGATTGCTCTGTAGATTAGAGGGTTACATTTTTGAGAGACTTGTAAACAATTGATAAGGAAATAGGCAAGCATTTAAAATAGAGCATGGTTTTCAATTAATTTGAGCCATTAGTTATAGCATTAACTGCCGATCTAAGCAGAACTTTGGTTGCTAGTATGAAGAAAACAGAAAATAAGTTGAATGTGTCCCTCTTAGAGTCACAAAAATTTATAGAGGATGTCTTAAGAGCTAGATCTCATTAAATCCTCTGTATCATCTAGGAGCGCTCAGTTTGCCACCCCTTCCTTCAGCAGGTATGTCACACGTGTGTTCCGTGTGCGGAGGAAGGGGGAGCAGAGGCTCAGCAGCAAAGCACATGGAAAGGGCCTGCCTTTCCTTCCCCGAACGACAAGAAAAACAAGAGTGCTGAGGTCAAGGCTACATAAAAACTAATGACACCACTGAACTTGCAACAGAAAGTATTTTTCATAAATTTTTCCAGCAATTTTATCCAAAATCAGTTTTGATTTTTAAAAGCCACTCTAGTCATTTTACACAAATAAAGTCTAGTCATCTAATTTCAACAGTCTTTGTTTTTATTCTGAAAATTCTTGGACAAAGTGAACAGCATTTTCTGTCGACAAAGTTACTATTTACTAATGTGAATTTGCCAGGATTCTGAAAGTAAAAATGCATATGTAAACTCCTTGAGAACCAAAACAAAATGGTCCCGTCTTCCATGTACAAATGACTAGGAGCTGTTGGAAATGATGAGTAGTTTGGATTGTAAGGCTACTTCGATCTGTTTCTGAGTTACGGGAAATGGAGCATCCACAGAGACAGCCAGGTCTTGACCTCTATCAGCTCTGTCCTCGTTTTCCCCGAGTGCTGGCTGGAGACAGAAAACATCACTAAACATTTTCATGACTCATTGTTCACATGCATGTCATGTTTTTATTCTGATCCCTCACCCCCAGCTAAAGTCTTAATAATCCCCCACAATAAAAGCCATGTCCAAAATGCAGTGTATTTGAAGTCTGCAACAGTTACCGGGAAGTAGGTTCTGAGAGTAAATGGATGAAATTCTAGCCATTTCTAAAGAGGATCCAGCTACTTAAGGGCACTGGGGTTTTCAGTGAATAGGTGTGAATATTTCAGTGCAGCCCAAGCTGCACTACGAAGCATTTATCCCTTCCAGATTCAAATACTTCCTGCACATATTTTCTAAAAAGTGTCTTTTATTAGTTCAAATGTTACTGTGGTTCGGATCCTGAACAAACACTTTTTTTTGGAGTGTGTCCTTCAAGGAAAGGAAGTTCGCAAGACTGGGCTGGAGAAGGAGAATTGGGCAAGAGAAGGAGAATTGGGCATGGGGGTGGTAACCTTAAGGCATCACTTTTTCACTTCGTGATGCTCCAGGTCAGGAAGGAGACCAGTGACTGCATGTTTCCCTGCCCGGCTTAAGAGGACAAACCACTCTTGAAGAGCTGCAAAAGAGATTCTATTCACCTTCAGAAGAACTGTGGGTCTCTGGCTGTCCAGGAGCCAAGCCATTCTCCGTACAGGTTGGGCCCATTCTCCTCCTGGGGCAAGCACAGCTGCCATTTACAGGGTTGCAGAGAGCTCCCTTGGAGCATTCACAGAGCAGTAGGCAGTCGGGCCCATAGTGGCCTGCCTTACATTCTGTGGGGGAGGAAGGAAAAACCGTAACAACTCAAATATGCTTTCAAATACGCTATTACTTCTTGGAACCGAATGAGATAATGAGAGTCTAGGAGAAAAATTCTGTTTTCTTCTGTGGTATCTTTCCCCGATGCTAGCATGTTATGTAATAAGAGCAAGAAAGTCCCTCGGTGGAAAACGGGAGGGTGGGTGTGAGGAGAAAGTTACTGAGAACATTGGAAAGTGAGGATAGCAACTTCTATTTCTAAAGTGCCTTCTCGGAAACTGATTACTCCATAACATTTACAGCAGTCGCACTGTGCAGGACACAGAAATGGATTAGCTGCCTGGGGTCAGAAAAAGTCAACGCTCACTCCGAATGCACAATGTGGAGGTTTTCTTTAGGTTAAAAACATGATTTTGTGTGCTTGTGTTGTTGAAAGTGAAATGGCTTTATATTCGACTCTTGTCTCTTAAAATATGTCAAAAGGGCTATAGATCTCCAATGTGTCTGCGGTTGTGTTGGTGCTAAAAGGACTCGGATTCTGTAAGTAGGATTGCATTGTGCCCACCAAGAGTAGGTTGTGGGGGTGGGGGATTGGGGGTCACTAGAGCTATTTAAAGAGAGGACTTAAAGCGGCAGCGAGATCTGTGGGCCCTTAGTCTGTTGTCCGGGAGAGAATTAGCAGAGAATGAACACATTCATTTTCTGCAGGACTGAGGGCAAGAAGAAAGCGCTGCCCAGCCCGTGGAAGGAAGTGATTCGTACTCCCTAGAACAGAATGCCACCTCTAAGTATTCAAGGGCTAGAGAACCTAATTTTGTTATTGTAACAGCCCCACCCCCACCCTCCACCCCCCACCCCCCAGCACTCCCCATGCAGTCAACAGAGTAAAAAGTGGGAATTTGAAGGAGAGCAAAGCATGATATATGGGAAGGATTGGAGGGAGAGAGGTGAGGGGGGAAATGATGTAATTACATTATAATCTCAAAATATAAAAGAAATTATTTTTAAGTTTGTTAACACATTACCTCATTGGCTTTCAGCAAATATCTATAAGGTGGGCAGGACAGTGAGGGGAGCCCTCCCACTCTGGAGAGAAGTGAATGGGTTTGGTGTGGTGCGTGATAGCTCTGTCATACTCCTGCAAAGCGACAGAGCTGTGTTTCTGAATGCTTATCTAAGGGTCCTTCCTCCTTTGCATAACTATGTGAGAACAAAAACATTAAGCATTTTCAGAAGCTCAAGTAAGCAGTTGAAGGCCAGAAAGTAAAAAAAAAAAACTTGGAAATATCAACATAAACACAAAGATGTGGTCTTAGAGGGAATGAGGTACTAGAGTCCTTGGGGATATTTTTCTTTTTATTTTACTCATTAGTGCATGCGTGCGTGCGTGTGTGCATGTGTGAATGGTGTATGTGTAAATGAGGTTGCTCCCGTACCACAGGCAGCCTGTGGAGGTCAGATGGCCACTTTCTGGTTACACTTCCACTATGAGTGGGTTCTGGGGATCGAACTCAGGTCCTCTGGCTTGTGAAGCAAGTGCATTTGCTCACTCCCTGAGCCATCTCCAGGCCCCTGCACAAGTTCTTCTTGGGCATTTTTACCATGGTTAATTTTGTTTTTGACTTGCATTATGTAGGCAGATTAAAATGCACTGTAGCTTTCTTGTCTTGCTCAATTAGATTTTAAATATGAAGCAGAAATATAAACTAAAGCTTCAATTAACTATTTTCGTGATAACTCAGCATTAAACAGAGACACTGCTCATAAATGCATGTGGGGCCAGTAAGATGGCTCAGGTCTTAAAGGCTTCTGTTACCAAGTCGGATTGCCTCATTTTGAACCCCAGGACTCCTGCAAGTTGTCCTTTGATCTCAATGTGCATACCCACCATATCACTACGCATGCTCATGCATGCATACACAAAGAACAAATTAATTCAATAAAAATAAAGATGAATCTGTTCTCTAAATTTTAGGCTCTGTGGAAAGCAAAGAAAAAAAATACATCATTTCAAAATGAGCCCAACACACAAGCTCTGCCCAGAGTCTTGCAAGATTATGCAGTTTGGTGGAAAGACCACATTTTTTTTGTTCAAAAGAGTTATTAGCCAGGATCTCTCCTGAGCAGTGGAGAATCTGATTTTAATTTATAAAAATACCACATTTTCATGTTAATAACCATGTGTATTTAAGACATCTGTTTGAATGTCTGCAAATGTTAATTTACCAAGGGGAGGGGTGAATGATCCAATAAAAAGTTGTTACATTCTTTTATGAATTAATATTATGGCTGTTTAATAGGTCCTTTACCAGAGTTAAGCTAAAATGAGGCCTTTTATCTTTAAGGAGCCTGCATAGACACAGCTGCTCACAGTTAATATTGCAGATGAACTGTAACTAATTGAAAATAAAAATGCAAATAAAAGACCTTGTAGTACATCTATACAGGCCTGGTGCCTCAAGAGTCCCTGACAAGAGGGACTCTCAAGGTTCCATGGAGAGCAGATACAGTACCAGAACTGAGCCATGCCATGTAGTAATTTCCTCACACATAGCAAGAGACTGTAGTACAGCACTTAGGGCACACAAAGCAATGTGAGCCCTTACCTTGAATCCCAATCACCATAAGTTTCCATTAGTACCTAGTATTATTTTATACTTCTGATTTTTAAAACACATTTTTAATTTATTTATTCTCCCTGCCCCCATGTCTGTGTGTATATGTGTGTGTTTGGGGGATGGGTTACAAATGGCCTAAGGTCAGAGAACAGCTTACCAGAGTCAGTTCTCACCTTCCACACTATATAGGACTTGGAATCAAATCCAGTTGTTAGGATTAACGGCAAGTGCCCTTACCCACTAAGCCATCTTGCTTGCCCTGATATTGTTATCATCTGCTGCATGTGTATGTGTGAGTGTGAGTACTTGTGTGCCCCACAGCATGTGTGAAGGTCAAAGGACAAGTTTGAAGAATTGGTGCCTGCCTTTGCACTTGTTTCTGAAGGAGGGTGTCTCTTTGTGCCATTGTGTAGGTCAGGTGAGCTGGCACACGAGCTTTGGACTGGTTCTCCTGTCTCTGCCTCCCATTTCCCGTAAGAGTGTTAGGATTACAGATGCACACTTGGTATCTACCTTTTTACCTGCATCCAGGCATAGGTCTTAGACTGTCAGGCTGGTGGTACAAATGCTTCTACCCACTGAGCCGTCTTTTGGGCCCTAGGCATTAGTTAAACCATTGCAAGTTTCATATGTTAGAATCTTCTGTGATGTTGGACATTTTCTATATAACACTATATAATATGGCAGCCAGTGACTATCAGTGGACACTGAGGATGTAAAATATATCCTGCGACTTGGAACAGGTGGGTCTTAAGTTAAAATAATCAGTGGCAGACTCTTGGGTCTCACATGGAGACAGACAAGCAACATCAATTCCTCAAATCTTTTCATCAAGAGAGGTGCAATATAAAAACAGCACAAAAGGGAGGTGCTGGCATGGAACACTAAAACTCTGTCTCTGAACCTGGACTGTCTACTCAGAATCTCAAATCGGACATTTACTTGTTGTATAACATAGGCAAATAACTGAACTTTATTACTTTTTTTTTGGATTTCTTCTTCCTACTCTATAATACAAGAAGGCTGATGGCAGCGAGGGAATTCATGCACATAATAGCCACTCACTGAACATTAGTGGTTTTTCTCAATATGCAGGTGGGACCACAAATGCTATAGGTGTGCCTCTTTTAGTGACCATTCCGTGGATGACATGTGTGTCATAGATATTTGTTCTGACAGAATAATTTCAGATATGACAGGGTGCAGCAACTTCTGTCCACCATGTCTCCAAAGAAGCAAGAATTCTTTCAGCAAACACTTGTTGGTGTATCTACTATTCTAGTCTAAGCACATTCACATACTGTATTGTCTACTAACTTAGATCCTCTGTATCCTACTTTATCAAACAGAAATGGGAACATGGACAACTTCTTGGGTTTGTGGACTGCATTAAATGAACGCAAGCCCTTTAGAATGCTGCCTTGTGTTCCAGGAAAGCAGCTGCTATTGATATTGCTCAGAAGAGAGCTGGGATGTGAAGTGATGCTGGGTGACTAGAAATATTTTGAAGCCTGGAAGGCTCTCACCATTACAGAGGCCACAAGCTCATGGCTTACTAGTGTAGGAATGGATCTTAACAATAAGTAACCTTAACCCTGTTCTTTTGAAGATAAGCAAAGTAAATCCTGAGATTAAACATTCAATGTGGGGTCTTATCTGAGTTGGTTCAGTGTCTTGGGTCTGAGGTGAATTATATAAAACCTTTTGATCTAGCAAGCATCCATCAAGTTACACTGCAGGTGATTTGATGTCAATCACCTCAATCCACTCTCCCCTCTTCATTGGACAGTTGCTAAATTATCATAACTTTACATTCTAGATCATTCTTTCTGTGGGTGGGAAGGAAAACAAAGTATAAATATCAGTTCCCAAAGACAATCGGGGTTATTGGACCTTGAGAATATTACCTAGATGATGATAGTTTATTTCTATTCTAGTGGGTTTTTGGGGTCACCTTCTGTTCATCGTGTCTCTGAGGAAGTCTGTTAACTAAGGTGTTGGGATGGAGTACCTATGATGTAACATCTACACACTGATTCTCAAACTGAAGAAGCATTGCTGGACAATGCCTTTTTACAGGGTGTCATTTCCAGATTTTTGCTCTTTGATCATACCTGTTTCACATCTGGCTCCTGTCCTCCCTGGTGGGCAGAGACATTTTCCTGTGATTGGATGGCAAGAACTTTCTCCTTTACAGTCACACAGCTGACGACAATTGTCCCCAAACATTCCAGGTGGACATTCTACAGAGGAATGAGACATGCTGGGATATTACGCCTTGAATTATCAAAGGTGCAAAATTTCTTTGAATATCCTCCTAAGTAGAAAATAGAGTTATCTTAGGAAGTCCAGAACACTCTGTTTTACCTTCAGGTTTGGTAAAGATCAACATTTTTGTGGTTGTACATCTGAGGGAATATGCAAATTCATATCAACAGATATTCTTAAGATTCAAGTGCAGATGATAAAGGTGATAAAGTGGTTTTTTCTGTTCAGCAAAGGACATCTGGAGAATTCTCAGAAGATTCACCGTCTGACTGATTTGACAACCAGTTCTCTAAACTTAGTTACTTTGACACTGGTTTATAATGTTCTAGAATATAAGTAAGCTTTTCTGAAAAATCTTAAGCAGCCAGACCGTGTATACAACTCTTATTATTTTTATTAATGTGAAAATTATTGTTTATCTCTCTAGAATAGTATATGCCCTATGCTTTCCACTGTATTTCTAGAATTTAACACAGAAATAGATAATAGTTTCTGTCTTATTGAACTACCAAGTAATAAATGAACAAAAATAAAATATGTAAAGCTGTGGTGATGTTTTAAAATATAGACAGACTACTTGAAAAGTTCATAGGCAGAAATTTTGATTCACCATATAGAATTAAGTTACCATGATCCCTATAACATTATCATCTTTATCATCATCATCATAATCATCATCACCACCATCATCATCGTTATAACTCTATACAAAAATCCATACTTTATGTGACCACAGTGATGCTCTCAGGTTTTTGGCAACATTTTAATTGACCCAATCTTTTAAGACTTTGTAATATTTTATTTCAAGCTGGTTATCCCTGTTTCTTTCATATTTCATACACATTCATAGCTGTGGTTACTCTTGTGATAAATGCCCAATTCTTGTCTTTAAATATTTACAAAACTCCTCTGATTGGTCTCAACACCACAAAACCAGGCATGTCTGTCACATTCTTATACTAGGCATTTCATGAAATATTTAATCTTATTCAGAGGTATAACCCTTTCCTATACTGACTTAGAGCTTTCATTTTGAGATATTACATGAGAGAACAATATGTTGACCAACTAGTAAGAATAGCAGAGGAATCTGATTATACTGGCCCCTGAAGATTCCTTATAGTGTAATGTATAAATTGAAAGAGTAAGTGACCAAATTTGATTTAGATTTTCATGTTCATGAATAGATTAGAAGACCTCATGCTCACAAAGAATTCTCACAGACATGTACTTTAAACACCCTTGCCATACCTTGTTCACAATGGTTGCCATAGAAACCTGCTGGGCAAACACACTGTCCTTTTGCTACATCACAACTGGCCCCATTTCGGCAGTCACAGGTATGAACACAATTAAAGCCATGAAATCCAGGAGGACATTCTAGAAGATAGAAATGTCAAAATGCTATCTTTAACTTAAAAACAAGATGAAATATTATTGTTCATGTTTTTATCAAGCCTAAAAGTGATACAAAGGGAAGAATTAGATGTACAGGGAATCATACAAGAAATTAATCATAAAAAAGTGGGTTTATGTTATTTTCTAAAACTAGTAAAGCCCATGAGAAGATCTGAAATATCTTCTTAATGTTATTTTGCTTTGATGTACTGTAGTTGGCCAAAGATGGCACTACAACCCTCCTGTTGTAGTTTAGAGGTGATATGTCCCCATAAGCACACATATTTGAACTCTTGGTGTCAAGCTGCTCATACTGTTTGGAATATTTGTGGAACCTTTAGGTGGATCTATTGGAGGAACACTGGGGTCAGGCCTGGAAGCTGAATAGCCTCATTCCCTCTCTGCTCACTCTTTGCTTTCTGAGTGTAGCTACAACAACATGACCAGCCAGTCTCCTGCTCCTAGATTGCCTAATCTCAAATCTGCCCTGTTAGGACAGATGGTATCCCTGTGGGACTCTAAGCCAAGACAAGCTCTTTTCCTCAATTACTTTATCACACAAACAGAAAAGAAATGAAAACATCTAAAACCTAAACCTAAACTTCTGATTCAGGCTAAATCTAGCGATACTAATATTGAATTAAATTCCTTAAACAAATAAAACACTGTGTGTGAAAAGTGATTTATTTGTATTTGTATTTGAAGTCCTGGGAGTGAACTCCCAGGGGCTGAACATGAAGGAAACAGGAGAGGATGAAAAAGCAGGACAAAGAGGATGAGGAAGACAGAAAATATATTGTATAAACAGTAGGGTGGCATTTTATGAGTAAGTTAGCTTTTACAGTCAGTGGGGTTTAAAGTTTGAAAAGTTTCTTAGGATGTCCTCTTAAACAGAAAGCAGAGTTATCTTAGTAAGCCCAGAACACTCTGTCTTAGCTCCAGGTTTGGAAGAGACTGATATTTTTTGTGTCTAGGCATCTGAGGGAGCACTTGTTACATATCTTTGGACTGTGAACACCAGCCCAGTGCATTTCCATGTAGGATAAACTTATCTTCTCATGGAGATGCTCACCTTGGAGTAGCAGGAACTACACTTGACTATGAATAAAAAAATTTCCATTTCCTTCCTTGAGTTTTCTCTCATGTGATCACTCATCTGTTTTACAAAATCCACTCACCTGACAATTATTCATTATTTCCCTAATCACCCCCATCCCTCTCTCCCACCTCCTTTTTAGGAATGTAACGTTGAATATTCTTAGTGTAGATGATGCGTCTCCAATATCCAGTGGGGCAGAGGAAAATCAGGAAACACAAAAGGAATTAAATAACATAAACAAAACATAAACATTCCCTTTACTGACCTCATTGTAACTATTGAGTAAAAGGAAATGTACAGTTTCTCCTTTTGATCTTATGAATGTTAGATAGAGAATACACAGACGATTCCTGTGTCTTCCTTTCTTTAGTTATATATAAAACTGAGGAATAATGGTTGCATTGCTTGATTTTCCATTTTACTAAATAATCTTATGTTTCTAAGTTGCTTAATTTGGAAATTTAGATGCATCTTTTCTTTCTCTTTAATATTTCAGTCACCATCACAGTGGATTGTTATCCTGATGTACTGTTTTATTTGTGCATTTCCATTCTCATCCCAGTCCAGTTATGCTTTATATCCTAGCCTGTGATTTCACTGTGAACTGTTCCCCCATAAGCTCTGTGTCTGAACATTTGCTTCCCAGCTGGTGATGCTGTTCAGGGGCATAACAAGACCTGTTGGAGGTGATGCCTTGCTAGAGGAAGCGCATCACAGAGATGGGACTTGAGGATCTGTAGCAACAATGAGAAAGGGCCTGGGTTTTCACTCTACAATCCCGCAGGTATAACGATGCCAACCCCTTGTTCCTAATAAACAGCAATATACCCGCTCTTCTAAGTTATCTCATCTTGGTGGTATTTCCTTAATCTAAAACACTCTTTGTAACCTTATAGTATAAATGTGATGGGTTCTGAATAAATACTTTTTCTTTCCTTCACCTCTTACTTCAATTTCAAAAACAAAACAAAGGAAACAAATGAACAAAAACCACAAAATGTCTGATTTTGCATTCTTAGCCCTAAAACACCAGATTAGTTACAAGAGTTTGAATCCCCAAATGCTTGGTGATGCCCATTCCTATTCCTGAGGTTGAAAGAATAGGAACATGGTTAATAGCATTTCAGACACTTTGGAAAATCCTTTGCATTCTAAGTAACTGACATCCACCAAGCTCTGGCCATTCATCTCCATGCTCAGTGCTTAAACATGATTTCCTATTAGTCCTCATGACAACCTTTATTAACCCACTATGCAGATGGTAAAGCCGGCAGAGGTAGGCTGTCTAGGACAAATGCTAGAGTCCACACTCTCATGTGTGCCCTCTGAGTAATACTGTCAAATCAGGACTCTCGGGGGCCAGGTCATTGTCTAAACTTCTTGTTTTTCATTTTTAGCTTAAACTGTGGAGTGCAAATATAGCAGGTCTTAGAAACAATTTTGAAAGACAAAGTGAAGGCAGATCTTTCAGAATCAAGTCATGGATCACGTGCGATCTAAGCAGCAATTCCATCTATTATTGCCCAAGGCCACCTGGGACAGACTCACAGCTGGTTCATGGGGTGTCTGTCTGCTGAGTGTATTTCCAAGTAATAGTGGGATCATTGAGCCAGTTAGAGGTAGAAAAGTCTAAGAATTTTAAAGTTCAATTTTTTTTCATCATGGTAATTGTTAAAATCTAAATTTTCAATTTAAGCTGTGAAACTCGCTCTACTTACAGTAATATTCACTAAAAGTTGTGTAATTTGATTTAATATGAATATACTCTCTCTATGATTTAAAATAGTTCTGAAGTTTAGAACCTCCCCATATAGCACACACTGTTTACCATGCTCACAGCTTTGTCCGTAGTACCCGCTGGGGCACTCACAGCCTCCAGAAAGCCTGCTGCAAATCCCACCATTCTGACATGAGCAATTGAATTTGCAGTCTGGGCCATAATTACCAGAAGAACATGCTGAGGAAGAAAACACCAAAATATTAGGATTTGTCCAAAGACCATTAAAAATTAATAAGTTCAAAGATGGTGAAAAACTATCATTAAGGAAGAAATGAGTACACATAAACCACCAACTAACCCAATTAAAATGGAGAACTCACAGTCTAGGTATGTGGTAAGCAGTAGTCTTCAATTCCTGAGTCTTGACCCCCCCCAATGTCAGATATACTACATATCAGATATATACATTACGATTCGTAACAGTAGCAAAATTACAGTTATGAAGTAGCAACAAAATAATTTTATGGTTGTGGGGGTCACTATAACATGAGGAATTGTATTAAAGAGTCACAGCATTAGGAGGGTTGAGGACCATTGTGGTAGAGGGCGTACCTAGCATGCATATGGGACTGGGTTCCAGCCCAACAACCCAGAAATGAACAAAGCACAAACACATACCATTGTTTACAAGGTGAAGGAAAGAGTTTGCTCAGTGGTTAACAACACTGGCTGCTCTTGCAGAGGACTTAGGTTCAAATCCCAGTGCCCACACAGCAGTGCATAACCATCTATAACTTCTGTTATAGGAGATCCAATGTTGGAGAAGGTTATTTTAAGGTGTGTTACTTTTGTTTATGTTGCATTTGTTTAACTCTGTGAAGCTGTGTTGCTGTGTCTGTCTAAAACACCTGATGGTCTAATAAAGAGCCAAATGGCCAATGGCGAGGCAAGAGAGGGATAGGTGAGGCTGGCAGGCAGAGAGAATTAATAGAAGGAGAAATCTGAGAGAAAAAAGTCAAGGGACAGGAGAGGACAGAAGAGGACTTCAGGGGCCAGCCACCCAGCCACAACAACAAAGTCAGAAGGGAAGAAAAGGTATACAGGAATAGAGAAAGATAAAAGCCCCGAGGCCAAAGACAGATTGGATAATTTTTTTATATGTACATATTATACATTTATTGTATATTATATTTATATAAACATAAGTATAACTTTACATGCTAAAATAATATTTTAGATGGATAGTTTCAAAAAATGTATTATTAAAATGACTTTCATTTTTTCACTTTAATAATGTGGCTACTAGAAAATTCTGAATAGCACACGAGGCTCATAGCATAGTTCAGCTGAGTACATCCATAGACCCTTGCTGTTCGACTGTGGTCCCCCAAATGGCAGAAATGCATCAAGAGGGTCTCATGAAAATAAAGAATATTAGATACTCAACCAAGGATACTATATCACAATTTGCTTGTAGAATGTTCTCCAGATTGGATAATTTTAAGTTAAGAAAACCTGGCAAGAAACAAGCCAAGCTAAGGCTGGATATTTATAATTTAGAAGAAGCCTCTGTGTGTGATTTATTTGGGAGCTGGGTGGAGGGCCCCTCAAAAGAGCAAAAGCAACCAACAACAATCCAGTCCCCCTTTCTACCCTCCAGTACACAGACATACACACAGGCAAAGCACACCTACACACACAAACACACACAGACACAGAGACACACACACATGCTCTTTTTAAAAGGTGAAGAAAATTACTATCCATATTGCAATTATCACAATCATAATATAAATAAAATTCCAAAATGTAATGAAATGGGAAATGCTATAGAGAAAAACTTACCCAAACCATCCTAATTTGAGGCAGAAAACCTAGATAAGATAATTATAGTAACAGTTCTTAACATTTGAATAAGAGTAAAAGGGAGAAAAAGAAAGAGCTATTCAGATTCACAGAGGAGTCTGCAAACTTTCACTAGGCAGGGCACCATCTAGATTTAGAGTATTCCAGAACACTGAAAGAGAAAGGAAATTTCCAAATACTTTTTATTGAGTGTATGGAACATCAATTTTAAAAACTGGAAAATGTTGCATATAAAAGCAGCTCCATTTTCCTCTTGGATATCAATGCCAAAATCACAGAATACAGAAGTATATAGAATCCAAGAGCACTTTATGAAATAGTTAATCATGGTCACACAGTGTTTATTCTTGTAATGTAAGGCAACTTAGTATTAGAAATTCATTAATATTACATCACATATGCTATCAGACTAAAGAGGAAACTCATATAATAAACAGCAGAGATGAGGAAAGGCCTTGTGATAAATTCACTAAAATATAGTAGGGTATCGAATGGATCAGAAAATTAATTATTTGCTCCTTAACCTGAATATCTTAATGTGAATGCTAAAGCCAGCATCTTTATTGATAAGGAATAAAATATGGAACAAAGGATGAACTGTTTGTTCTTGAATACAATGAGTTAACCTAAGAATGTGATTCTTCCTGAGGAAACACAATACAATGAAACAACAAAAACATGTTTTCCCTAAATAAATGATTATAACATTCATTTGGAAGAACAAATAAATAAGAATAACAACAAAACACCCCCTAGAATGTGGAACAGTAATGGGGATAGCCATTTCATATTTCATGTTTTGCTATGCAGTCAGGGCTATACATGGATCCCAGATCCCCTTCAGTCTCCATAGTATTGAGATTAAAGACATGAACCACCAGTCCCGGGACACACACCCACTCCACTCCCAAAGACCAGTATATTCTAACCACTTGTTAAGCCCTCTGTGACTGTTGTCTTCTTCAGGCCCCTGTTTAAAATCTCTAGGCTCAGCCAATTTGATGTCTACAATGGTTTTGGGTTTTAGGGTAAAAAGTGGAATTGAGTTCTCAGGGTAATTTGTTACCACCAATACTATTTCAATTTCTTAAGATGTTTCAGAGTTTTCCTGTGATAGTCTAGAAACTAGGTAATGATTAATGATCAATATTTGTACAATTTTATTGGAAATGTGATCCTAATTATAAACAGGTTATTGGAAAATAGTTTCTTCATAGGCCTCTACTCAGCAACCCATATTGATGAGTTCTAACGTGTACATTGTGAGAATAAGAAGGAACTATCAGCTTGCCTTTCTCACAGTAATCCCCGGTCCACCCAAGGCCACAGGAGCATCTCCCATCCACAGGATTGCAGAGTCCACCATTTTTACACAGACATTCGAGGTCACAATTGGTGCCATATCTTGTCTGGGGACAACCTAAAGGAAAACATTTTTAAATATTACGTTAAATGAATATGTCATGAGTCAACATTTTTTTTCTCTCCTTTGAGACAGTTTCCACATGAAGACAGTAAAACCATCAGAAAAATCTTCAGATGAAAACAACCACCTGGATCTGTCCATTAGGTCACAAGTACAGCACTGCCCTGGGCTCACTCAGTTCACATTCACTCCATAAACATTTACTGGGCTGGTCCTGTGTGCCCAGTACACCAGCACCTAGAGCTTGCCTGTGGAACAGTCAGCAGTAATCTGGGTCAGTTCGTGGGATGCTTAATGTTGACTGTCAACTTCAGAGGGATCTGGAATCATACAGAAGACAAGCTATAGGCATACCTGAATGGTTGTTTAGTTTAGCTAGCTTCTGAACATGCCTGTGAGGGACAAGCTTGATTAAGTGAATTGATTAGGGTGCCATTGTTCTCTTGGTTTGGATCCTGGATTGCACTGAAATCACGCAAGCTGAGCAGTAACATGCATTGTTCTTTGATCTTGACTGCAGAGCACTGGGACCAGTTCTGTGACGCTCCTGCTACATGGTTTTTCCCTCCAGCTAGAACTATACACTAGAACCATGGGCCAAAGTAAGCTCTTCTCCTTTAAGTTGCTATTGTCAGAATATTCTATCATAGCAATAGAAAAAGTAAACAATAATGGGGAGTAGTTTATTTACTATCTCAAAAATTGATAGTAAGGAAAGAGGAGCAGTTATTTCTTTAATATTCTGGTGCTTCACTGTTCAGCTGAGGAGGGCCAACAGCAGTTAAGACAACAGTGAGTGAAGAGAAGGGGGCCTAAGGGCCTTTCTGTCCATGCCAGGGGAATATCATGGGGTGATAGGAAGCGCCATCAATGTGAGATTAGAGCCTCTGTAACATGAGGATGATTCTCATATTTAATTGGTTTTGCCATAAAAAATATGGTCCCATATTGCCATCTAATACAACATTTTAAGGAAAAAATCAATATCCATATATTACAGGAACTTCTCCAATCTTTGAGAGTTGGCAACTAATTAAAATTATTTTATAACAGCATGGAAGGCATATTCTGAAGCCAATTCAAACACATTTGTGGCTAGATTTGGCCACGGGCCTACCATTTATAACCTTTAGTTTATGGAGTTTTTACATAATGATATTTCACACATGGATTATCTCATTTAATGCTCCCAAACACCCCTGTGATGTGGGTAACAGTGTTCTTAATTTTCTCTTGGAAAAACTGAAGCTTGGAGACTAAAGCCTGGTGCAGACTGAGACAACCAATAAGGCCAAAAGTCAAGACTTAAACATGAAACCTCTAAGATCTAAAGGAGCCTACTTTGAATTTCAATAGCGGAAGAGATAATGGAATATCTTTTACTTGTTGTTTGCTTTTTAATTCCAGATAGCATAAAAAGTTAGATGGATTTAAAAGGAGAGAAACAAACAAACACACAAAGTAACACCCCTAGCCCCAATTTGCGTGAGGTTTCAGCTGACATAAGCAGAAGGTGTAGCTGAATCCGGTAGAGGCACTTCTCTGTGTGGATCTGATAAAGGACCAGTTGTCGGTGGTCAAATAAAGGAAGGTTTATTTTTGTGGGCAGATAACAGTGTGTGGTATACACGTGTGTGCTGGTTCTCGTGTGCGTCTATGCATGTGTATGTGGAGGACACAGGCTAACCCCAAGTGTTATCCCTCAGCAGCCATTTCCCTTCTCTCTCTCTCCTTTCTCTTTCCCTTTTCAACACAACATTTCTGTTGATTTCCTGGGAACCTCACATCACACACCTAATAACACCCACTTCTCAGGCCTTCCATGTCCACACCCACCCTCATGACCTCCCCCCATAACAAAATTTAAAAATCCTTTTCCTCCCATGCCCTGCAGAAGCCGCCAACTGTAAAGAGCTAAACTTCAGCATATCCCATCACACTTTTCAAGCCTCTTCTTCGACGGCTCCCCACCCAGGCTGTTACTTTTTTGTTCCCTTTGGGAAGGTGTGGGGGGAGGGTCACATAAGCCCTCCATGTTGTTCTCTCTCCACTGTGTGTCTACAGTCCGATATTTCTGCCAAAGTGTTTTCCTTGCTCCTTGCAGTCATCAGGAGCATCTTGGGCTTACACGTGATTTCTGGTGAAAGCACAGACCACAAACAAGGCTCCCAGCTGCAGCAGAACCACAGATCCAGGATCCAGGCACACCCCTCAGCGGCTGTGACATTACCATGGCCTCAGGCTGCAACATAGACCACAGACATCCCAATGGCCTCAGAGGTTAACCCGGGCCACAGATACCAACACAGACCCTGGCTGCAGTAGGAGGATGCCTTGTCTCTTAAAATAGGGTTTCTTTTGGGCCTGAAGATTGATGTTAGGGTAGATTGGCTGGCCAGCAAGCTCCAGGGATCTCCTTGTCTTGACCTACTGAGATTATGCCTGTGCCACCATGCTTGATTATTTTACATTAGTTCAAGGGCTCAAAATAAATCTATATAATCTGTCTGTCTGTCTCTCTCTCTCTCTCTCTCTCTCTGTCTATCTATCTATCCTCTATCTAGCTATCATCCTCTCTATGTACTTAAATTAATAGGTACTGCTTTGGAATACTCCCTTTGTACTCTGTAATGATTTGTCACTTGAATTGGCTTAATAAAATGCTGATCAGCTGGTAGCCAGGCAAAAAATATAGGTGGGACAGCCAAACAGAGAATGCAGGGAAGAAGAAGGGTGAGGTCAGAGGGGCACCAGCCAGCCCCCCAGGAAGCAGGACATGTAGAAAACAAAGAAACAAGCCATGAGCCACGTGACAAAGCACAGATAAGAAATATGGGTTAATTTAAAAGTAAGAGTTAGATAGTAATAAGCCTGAGCTACTGGCTGAGAATTTACCATTTTACAGGCCTCAGTGTGTTTATTTGGGAGTTGCTGGTGGGACAGAAACTTCTGCCTACAAACCAAAGTATGGTGCCCAAGCGTTTGACTGGAATTTCCACATAAAACCGGACAAAGCTTAAAAAAGGATTCTAGACACACAAAAGTGGAGTCAAGCATGGCTTCTTGGTAGCTGAATTTTCTCAGGTGGGCTCTGTTTGCTGGCAGAGAGCAGAGTTGTGGCTCCTTTAAGAGGTGGCTTCCTAGCTTGGTGTTAGCAGCAAAAATGGGCTACTCTTTTAAGAGTCCCTGCTACCAAACACTTATATGACATTTATGAGCAGCAGTCGGCATGCTACTAGGTGGTGGTATGCACCTGTAAACTTCCAGAGTTAGGGCACGTAAACATGGCTCCCAGAGCTGGTGGTAAACATACCTCTGCCATGAGACTAGACTCTCAGGGAACCAAGGGAGAAGAGCCAGCACCAGCATGCTATGATCTAAGTTATACAGCAGTATTTTTGCTCATGTAGACAGGAAAGGATTACAGATACACAGTAAAGGCAGATTCAGACAAAAAGAGAAAAAAACCCTCTAAACAGGTTACAGTGTGTTTAAAAATATACATAGGCTTGGGAGAGAAAAGAGAAAGGGAATAGACAGTCATAAAAAAGAAAAATAAAGTTTTAAAAAAAATAAAGTCCTTAAAAAGGGAGTAAAGTAATATAAAAGAAAAAAAGCCATATAAAGATGAGGAATATACAGATAATCTGGGTCCTATATGTTATTATTTTGTCTTTGAATTTTTTGGCTACTAAAAGACACTGGATTATGAAAAGTGCTAGATTAAGCCAACCTATATTTTAAAATATCTTGACTTCAAAATTTAAGTCAAAAGATATGTTGTTTTTCAGAAGAGGTGATGCTTTTATTTCCACAGAAAATGAGAAGCTGTGAATTCACTCCAGATTAAAGAAAATCAGGTTTGAACAAGAAAGATCCCCTGAAAGTCCTGGCTACAAACATAAAGAAATAAACCTAAAATAACTACAAGACATGTGATGTATATTTTACCTGCTCAAACACATAACAAAAAACCACCTCTAGCTGACTCAATCTATACTTGTATTAATGCAGATATGTGTGTTACCTTTACAAGTTTACGTATTTTCAGGGCAAGGGGACCAAACACCAATGAAAATGGATGGCCAAGTGATCCAACATTTCCAAATGCCTCTGTTACACTCTCATCAGAATTCTGCATCCAGAACAGCTTCAAGGCTCCTGGCTGAGATGATCCAGCCTCACAGAGTATTCCAGTCAGGACTTGACCATAATCCTAAATTTTCTCAGGGTTCCCTAAAGATTACCAGTGCCCCTAGCCAACAGGAAGTAGTCTAGAGAACTATACCCACATTCCCAAAAAATAGGTCATGAGTGTTTATTTTAAGAGGGGTTGGTTACAAGTTGTTATTGGTAATGGTCAGGAAAAAAGGTGAATAAAGGAGATTAGATTCAGGGATTTCATTCTAAAAAGAAAAAAAAAGGGGATATGATATAGAATGAGAGGATAATAGTATAGACTATTGAATCTACTTTAACCACAAAACAACTATTAATCTTAATTATGTTACATTGGTATGGATTTTCATATATTGATACAGATTAAAGTTAATTTTGTTATATTATATGTATATTTCTACTCTCATTTATGATATTATGTTTATGCAGCTCATTTAAAATTGTAATATATAATTAAGAAATACAGATTAATAGTCATCTATAATAGCAAACTTATAGTCATGCTAGTTTTTCAAGGTCATACAGAGATGTATTTCAGATAGCTAAGCAATCTTCAAACATTTCAAAGGTCTAGAGAATACGGCATTTAAAATGTTTTAATAATTGAAGACTTTTCTCAACAGTGAGACACGTCTGCTCCTGGCAGCACCAGTTACTTCAAAGAGGATGATGGGCATCAAAGACACTCCATATGGAGTTTGTTTTCTTTATGGTAGAAGCTAGCCATGTGGGCAAAGAAACTGCCATTGCCTCAATTGCTGACAGTTACTGTCCACACTGGACCAGCAGGATGCAAGAAATGCAGCTGCTGAACTTTGCCAAGACAAGGTGAGACAGTTCTTCAAAATTCTCTGCTTCACAGGAAAGTCTGTCAGAAATGCTGGGCCTGTAGGCCAGGGTTGGATGGCCCAACATTACAGAGAAACTTTCGGTAACTGGGTAACTGTCCAGGCAGCCTAATATCCCTGTCATTAGGTAACTTTTCACTCTTCTGGGATCTTTGATGGAGTTGAAGACTAGATAATTATAATTATAGTTTTCCTTAGTTATGATAAAAGGTAAATTAGGTACAAAACATTAGACTCACTAAGATAAGATAGATAGTATTTTCTCTAATTTTGCCAAATATAAAAAGACTGGATATTGTAACTGTAATTCTTACTTAATAACTGTATTTGTTGTATATAATTTTACTCTGTTAAAGTTAAAACCTTTCTTTTTAATTAGACAAAAGGGGGAAATGCTGTATAATATTCCCTTTGTATACTGTAAAGATTTGTCACTCAAATTGGTTTAATGAAATGCTAATTGGCCAGTAGTCAGCTAAAAAGTATAGGTGAGACAGCCAAACAGAGAAAGAGGGAAGGAAGAAGGGCAGAGTCAGAGCGATGCCAGTCAGCCACCACCGAGGAAGCAGGACATGTAGAAAAAAATTAGGTAACAAGTCATGTGACACATGGCAAAGCATAGATAAGAAATATGGATTAATTTAAATGTAAGAGTTAGGTAGTAACAAGTCTGAGCTATTGGCTGAGCATTTATAATTTCTATTAAGTCTCCGAGTCAGTTATTTGGGAAGAGGCTGCTGGTTATTTGACAGCAAGCAGTTGGGACTGGAAAATTTCAACCAAAGTACAATTTACAATTGCATGTTTTTATTGTCTAGTTTTCTGTTGATGTTAAAAAACACCATGACTTAAAGCAGCAGCCTGTATAAAAAGGGTTTATTTTGGCTTACAGTTCTAGAGGGATAAGTCCAGATGAAGGGAACAAAGGCATGTCAGCCAGCCTTGTGCATTGTGGCAGGAGCAAGAAACTGAGAGAAAACTGGAAGTAGGGCAAGACTTTAAGTTCCCAAAGCCTGCCCTCCAGTGACATCCTTTCTTCAACAAGGTCAGTCTTTCTAAACCATCCCCTAACAATGCCACCACCTGAGGGCTAAGTGTCTACATACTGGAGCCTATGGGGAGACAATTCTCATTTAAACCATCACATACTGTGTAAACCACAATATCTGAAGTGTGTGATGAAAACCTGCCCTAGTTGTCTTCTCCCTCTTTATACAGCAAGGGGGCATGCCAGCTCAGATGCCACAGCTAAGAGCCATGGCCAGCACTCTTTCTGCACTTCCTTGCCTTGATGATTTGATGGTTCTTCTGTGCTTATAATTTTAATTATGATAATAATCAATGTTAAGATCTCAGAGAAGTAAGTCTTCAGTTTTCAACACAGACCGTATTTGCATGTTTATCTACTGTTTTTCTCACAGGGGGCCTCTGCAGGTTGAAAAGTATGTCGGATTCGTTCATCTTGTAATTTAACTTCTCTAACATGTTTTCAAAGTTTTCCAAGAGTGGCCACTATTGCCTAAATTGCTCCTCCTAGCCAAGAGTATGCATAAATAATTTTCATTTTTATACCAATTTCTGTGGCCTTCCAAAAGGCCATTGCCCCAACAGTGCAACAGGCAAACATGCTGCCATAGGATGAAAGGAAGCATGGCAAATCATGCCACAGTCCCGGCACCGGAGTCATAGTCATAGTCCAGTGTGTTCATTGCTTAAATAGTTAAAGTGAATCTTTAGCAGCCTTTGTTACCTTGCTGACACCTTGATCCCATCAGGCCGGGTGGACAATGACACCTTCCTGTCACTGGGTCACACTTTCCTGAGCCACAGGAACACCATTGGGCACAATCCTGCCCATAATTGCCTCCAGGACAAGCTAGACCAAAGAGCAAAATAAAGGCAAGCGAAGCTTAGTTTGCTTATGAAACATCAGTCACTCAAGACTTCCAGACACTTGTCAATAAATGGCCCTTTCTCCTAATCCCGTATTTTGCTGACGTTCCTACAGTTTGATTTTCAACCTAAAAGGTTACTTCAAAATAAGTAACCAAGTAGGAAGTCCCAAGCTGTTGCTCTCTTGGGTCAGTTTCAGCTGGAATGTAGAATATATAAGCCTGTATCTAGTTTCAAAAGACATGTCTGGTAGGTTTCACTTACAAATTAAAGACCATGGCTATCAGGATGGAGAGATGGCTCAGTGGTTAAAAGCACTGTCTGCTCCTACAGAGGACCTAGGTACAATTCCCAGAACCCACATGGCAGCATACAACTGTCTACAACTCTTGTTCCAGGGGATCTGACATGCTCACACAGATATTCAGGCAAAACACCAATGCACATAAAATAAAAATAAATTATTAAACAAAACAAAACAAAATCCCAACAGCTTCCAGTCTTACTTTATACATACACACACCACAAACATATACACACACGTGCTCTGAGTATATGTGTGTAAGAAAGAGAGATTGTGCATATGTATGTATGTGTGTGTATTTGTTTGCTTGTGTGTATGAGTATGTGTACATATATATGCTTATGTATGTATATTGTTTTGTGTGTGTGTGTGTGTGTGTGTGTGTGTGTGTGTGTGTGTGTGTGTGTGTAGTTGTACTTTCAGGACATACATAATGTTTTGGCAAAAATATTGAATATTTTGTCTCTTAAAGTCCTTTCTGGAATCTATTTTATACTCCCAGCCTCAACATAAAATCCATAATACTCACATTTTCAAATATTTATCTGTTTCTTTGAATTTATTGATCTATTTTGCATTGTTCCAAAAATGAATTGAGATGAGTACTGAAAACAGATAACACACAAAATAACAGAAACATCTGTAAGAACCAACTGAGATGGCTACGTGGTAACAATGTGAAGATAACCTTGGCCTTGGCAGAAGCAGGCTGCACACTTGCCTCTAACCTACCAATCTGTCAAGGCAAGGAAAGTTGCCACTACAAGATCACAGCTTTCTCAAGACAATGTGTTCCCAGTGTTCAGGAGCCACAGCCTTTGAACACGCTCTTGCATGGGACGTCTCTTTGAAGAACACACATAAAGGAGCCAGCTGGAACCTTCCTCAGGAAGTATTTATGGGATGGCGTTCATGCAAAGATCACTTGGCAGTCGAGGACACAGAGGCACTATCCAGTAGGTGTCTGTCACCAGGTTTTTGGATTTAAGACTTTGTACTGTTAAATTTTTGTGCTCAGTATGGTGGGGTGCTGTCACAGGACAATTAACAGAGAACATGTCCTTATGTAAGTCAGAGGCAGCAGCCACCTGCCTGGGAAGCACAAGTGAGGAATGTCTCTTCAGCACACACCAGCTTAATGGCCTGAATAAGCACAAATTGATCCTCTTCCAGTAAGATCTTAAATGAAAGTTGTGTGTGTGCGTGCACACACGTGTGCATGCATGTGAATATGTTTCTATGCATATGTGTATCTGTATGTATGCATATATGGGTATCTGTGTATATGTTTATGCTTTTGTGTGTGTATTTTTGTGTGCATGTGTATAGTATGTGTGTATATATGTATCTATGTATGTGTGTATGTTTATGTGTGTGGGTATATATGTGTATATGTATGTGTATGTATGTGTGCAAGTGCACACACATGCACACACATGAATGAGAGTTAGAGTTATTGTAGTTCATCTACTTTTAACTTAAAACCATAGTAATGGTGCTTCTCCCTTCTGGTTGTGAAGTTAATGATCACTGGAGATAGTATGATCTTAATGAATGACTCGAAAGTGAATAACCAAATCTCACGTCCCTTGCCTTAAAATCTAGACATTGTTAGCCCAGCTTCCAACCTCCTTCTCTCAGTCTGTTCTCTGTACTGCCTCCTCTATCTTCTGAAGAGATCATCCGTGGCCCTGCATTCAGACACTAAGGTTTGATGTGATTACATAATCATCACCACCTGGGCCAGAGGCACCAGAGGGCATGCATTCACCTAGTTATTTGGTGAAAGTAGAAACTACCCAGTCATTTAGAAATGGCAGGTTTGACAATGTATGATATGTATTTAATAGGCACAAACTCACAGTATCCAAGCATTTGTATTTTAAAGGGATCTTCAGCTTTTTGACCCTTACACTTGATGTTAATAAGTTTTACAACATACAGTAAAGGTATTTGAGCTTATGGCACTATTTCCCTTTTGATGAATAGAGAAATTACTTATTGTTGAGACATAAAATTGCTGAGTATAGATAAAATTCTGGACCTTTGGGCAAGGTTGATATTATGAACACAGAAATCAGCATGCTGACCTTGCCTAACACATTTTTCCAGTCTTGATTTAAGTCCAGTATTTCTGGGTAGAAGGATTTATGGCAGAAAGATTTCTTTTGCTAATTTTGATGACTTCAACTCTCAATTCAAATCTGATGTCAATAGTTGCCAACCTAGCATTTAGATCAGCTTGTATTTACTGTCATTATAATAAACCCCCAAGTGAAACGTTACACCACCGTTCACTGTTATAGCTGCAGTCCTTAGGAACTGTCCTTTGGTACTGTGCTACACACTTTGGACACTGGAATAGTTATCCTGTCTTCCCCATAAGTACAGGGTGAGGTTGTAGGATTGCCACACATTCATAAACCACACAAGGACTCTGACTGAAAAACCAGGCAAGACTAACTTACTTTGACTGCAGTCCGCCCCGATGAAGCCAGGAGGACAGGAACACGTGCCACGCATGCTCTCACACTGACCTCCGTTCAGGCACTTACATGTTTCTTGGCAATTTGGACCATAAGTGTCTTTTGGGCACCCTGTTACAGAAGAGCAAAATTTCATGTGTTGTTGTAACTTGAACCATTCCGGTGTTCAAACTCATGCCCACACCTTTCTTAACTCAATATTTCAATTATTCATCATTGGTGATTTTAGTTGCCTTCAAGCTACTGATTCAAACATACGATGACATGACAATAGATAGGTGGATACATAGGAAGACACAGAGATTCCTATTCTCTCTGTGTCTCTCTTTGTTTCTCTGCTTCTGTCTTTCTCTCTGTCTGTCTCTGTCTCTCTCTTCTCTCTCTCTGCTTACTGACAGGCTGGTCTCATGGTCCAGTTGAAGACCTTCAGAGCCAGGATGGACTGCCCTTCTGGAAGTGTAAAATAAATCCTTTCCTGCGCTAAGTTGTTTTTTGTCAGGATGTTCTATCACAATAAGAGAAAAAGGTCTCCCATGATGACACTATGTAAGACTGGTCAGAGAGGGACTCTTATGTAAGACGCATTTTACAACCTTTGCTTGAATCCTGTCTCCAAACCCACAGTTGTTCCTTGGAGCCTCAGATTGCCTTCCAGCCTAAGAAATAAAACCACGTATGGTGAAAACGAAAGCGAACACTGAAGCACTGTTCACATGGAAGGCTGCAGTTCTGTGAGAGCGGCTCTTCCTCCACTCTTCCCCGCGCTAGCCCCGCCCACGCGCTAGCCCCGCCCCGCGCTAGCCCCGCCCACGCGCTAGCCCCGCCCCGTGCTTGCTCCTTCCAGAACAGCACTCCCAGCATTCTCAGCAGTGCCCATGCTTGTGAGGTTCCTCCTCGTTTAAAATGTGTTAGAGAATGGTAAACCTGAAGTTAGCGCTGCAATAAGATGCATGCTTTCACCCTTCTTCCATTTCCTGCATGTCTAACTGGGTGTGTCTCATAGAACGTAATTGTCATAGTTTTATAAAAGCTAATGATTTACAAAAATGTATGATGCTGAAAAATGTTTGGTGACTCGACTGGAGGCAAACAAAGAAGGAAACTGAGGATATACAGAGAGAACCAGTGTGGTCAGGTGAGCCCCTCAGGCATGCTGCTTCCTAAGAGGAGAGTAAAGTGGTAGCAGGTGTTCTAGAAGTCATAACTGGGAAGTGGACTATGGTGTGGATATCTGTGCAAGCAAGGAAAAGAGCGTCGCTATATAAAAAGAGACTTTTTCAAAATAAAAATGTATGTAAAGCTGTGGCTATAATTCTGAGTATAAAGAAACACCACATCCGCTGAACTGGAAGAATGGCCTAGTTAGTGTGAGTATCTAACGAATTTAAGTAACTAAGAGATGCAAAGCACAGATTTTAAGATACTTTTCCTGTGAGTTGAAGTATAGGACAGTCATTTCCACCCAGGGACACTCATCAATGCAGCTATCTTATCATTGGCTTGTACTTACTAAAATCACTATTGCTTCTTTCTTTGTCATAAATAGAAAAAAACACATTATTTTATCCTTCAACTTAATTATCCTTCTTAAATCAGTACACGATATCTGATGAGGCTGACCTGCTAAAGAATATGTCATCTATAAAAAGAATATATGCACAAATCTGTGTGTCACAAACTCATTAAATTTATATCCCAAGTATGCTGTATGGTTTATAGAAGTTGTGGTCATCTTTTTTCCAAGAATTTATTATTTTTTGGACAATTAGACTTTCTCATTAACTTCTGTGGCACATGCAAGTTAGACTTCTTGATTCATGATCACATCTCAGAGGTTCACTAAACTTAACAAGACACACTCTGGATATAATGATTTTACTAAGTTTGTCATAATAAAGTCAAGTCTCCCGCTCCTCCCCGCCCCCCATTTCCTAATGTTCTGTTTTTATCATGGCGTCACCTTCGCTACATCTCTTACAGTTATTCTTTCTGGAAATGTCTCCCAAGCAAGGGGTGTTGGGTTATTTTCCATTATAAAATGACCATTTCCCCCTATCCACAAATATTCTTCCCCTCTTTGATGCTAATAAAAAAAACAACAACTCAATTTGGAATTTACTGTTCTGATTTGTTTAAATATTGAAAGCTCCGTGGCAGGCCCCTCTGCTACTGCACACTGTGATCATGTGAATGGCATTTCACTTAGACAAACAAGGCTGCTACTGTATCTCGAGGCACATAGTTCCCAAGCAAATGAATAGCATTAATCTGTTTTCCCCAGTCCGTTTGCCTAGTATTTGAAAAGGTTACACATATATGGGCAAGACATTGTGACACAATTTGGCTTTATTCTGAAAAAGGAGGAAGTAAAATCTCCTCACAATGAATGTTTATGGCCACAGGCAATGTCATCAATGACAAGCTTCTATGAATGCCTTCATATCCTCCTGATCTGGGAAAGCTATTCTTACTACATTTCCCAAAGCATCTATTTGGAGCATGGAGGACCTTTCACAAAACTGACTAGTTACTGAGAACTCAGAAGAGGGTGATTCTAAATGTAGGCAGAGGAGTGTAAGCTTTCCAAGGTCTACAATAGTGTAAGACCTCTCATTGGTCATGAAACCCATAGGATCGTGAGTCCACATCCTCTGGCACTCACTGCTCTTTTCCTATGTGAAAGCCACACGCTCAGGCTGAGTGTCCCCATCTCTAAAGTTAGGAAAAAGCTGTGAGATGTTCAGTGTGAGTTTGTCTGATTCCTCTGACCTCTGCTGAAAGAAAAGTTTAATTCTCTGCTCTGAACTTGAGAGCATGAAAGCCCAGTTGTTCTTGGCTGCAGAAGCTTTGCTTTAGAGCCAGCTACACCTTTTATGGTTATTTTCTTGAATCCTTCTTCATAGTCTTGTAATTACAGTGGATGCTGCCAAGGAACCATATCCAACCACGTGTTGCTTGGAGCTAAGCCCACTTGACAGTCAGGGAGCTGCTCCTGGCTCAGCCAGCTTTACTTTAACAAGGTGAGGCTACTTCCCTTAACCCAAGGTAGCTCACTTTTGGAAATGAAAATATAACCAAGTTGTATGTAACCTGATATTATTTCTTAATATAAAATATCTTCGAGACCAGGAAGGAAGTTCTTCTGAGATATATGACAATACCTTTTTAGGACAAGATGCCTGGAATTGATCATAGTCACAAACTATAGTCTTTCATTTTCAACTGGAATGACTATACTATTTATGGATCTTAAAAGTGTTAATTGAAACAATTTTCATATATGTTTAATTGTGGCTTTAGTTGCCAATGTTTAAGATGTATTAATGATATTTGGAATATATTGTCTATGGCTTTTAGAAGATTAGTGTGATCAGGAGTCCATGTATTTAGGACAAATGACTGGAAAGACTGGAGGAAAGAGTAGCCATGGTCAGCTTGGGGAAACAAAGGAAGCTGAGGGCAAAACATTTTATTCTTACACCTATAAAATGTGCATTATAAATAATTACAGGCTTAAAAATTAAATAGTTGATTGAATATTTTCACGTGCTCCTTGGGACTTTTTTAGTGTGTTTTTTCTTCAATAAGCATTTTTTGGCATTAAATTGTTCCAGCAAATCAATGTAAGGTTCTGAGTCTAGGGATGGAGCTGTCTCATTACAGGGCCAGGAGCTGCTGGCATTTTGTCACTTAAGCAAGCCTTTGCTTTCATCACAGAATAACAATTCATTTCATTTTTGTTTCGGAGCAGGCATGGGATCAGCTTACATTTGAATCATTTAAAATATGTTGTCTCTTGTTCTCTGCTGATTTATAGTGATAAGCACATAATTTCCTACATTTTTTGTCTATCATGTTTCATATATACTTGTGAAGGGTTTGGGGAAATTTTTGAACAGAAAAGACCAAAAGAAGATAGAGAAGGGGGCACGGAGAAAGACTGGAAGATAATGCTTTCCAGGATTCACGTCAAACATCCCACAGAAGTGGTTATGGAGTTGAAGCCTCCATTCACTTCTGCTCTTCGCTCCGAGCAATAGTCCGGCCTGTCGGCATCTCCTCAGCAAGTCACACTTCTAATACAGACGACCACACTTACGGAGCTGACAGTGGTTTCCATGGTAGCCAGGCAGACAGGAACATCTTCCGGTGACTGGATGACAGTCCTCAGTTGCTGAACACTGGCATATCTGGTTACAGTCTTTCCCATACGTGCCTGGTGGGCAGACTGGGAGGAAGAGGAGAAGTCAACCCAAATGAATTGAATTTGTCTGTGTAAATATGGTCCTAAAAGTGAAAGCAGGGCCAACTTATTAAATAAGACCATTGCCTACAGAAGTGCACAGCCCTTCGGGATTTAGGTTTCATTAAATTTGCTTGGGGATTACTTCACTGTTTGATTTTGTTTTGTTCAGTCAATTTGTGATTGACTGTCAAGGGTTGGCTGCAATTTTCTTGTCATGGAAAAAAATCATAGTGTGATGTCAGAGAAAATCAGCTAAAATAATAGTATAATTCATATGGGACCTTGTATCTGGATCAAGATATTATTTCTGGGGTAGCTTTTTTAAAGTCTCCAGGTGGTTTCTCCCTGCACATTAGCAGGTGCTGTATTTGTGTCGCCGGTCAGCCCCTCAGCCGTGTTCTGCTGTTTTTTTATGTAGTCTCAACAGTGAAATCCCTCCATCCAACATTTCAATCACATCAAGGCATTTTTTTTTTTGTAAAAAGGAAAAAGGGATATGGGTATTTTCAGCACAGAACATGGAATCAAGTAGACAGTTTGGGTTTCATGGTTATGGACACATGGCAATTCAAACAAATTCAGTGGGAAAAAAAGCAGGCCAGTTGGTCATTAGGTCCTTTAGACCTAAGACAGACTAGCAATGTCTCCACCAACATTTAACAGACTGTGCTGTGGGTATAGACACTCTTTGATTTAGAAATACCAATTGCTCAAATATCTGTTCATGGAGCATTCATCCTGAATCTGTCAGGTACTCAAAAAGACACATTTGGCTCGACTGTCCACAAAGCTATTGACTTGGCTGATTAATGTCTAAGGGAGAAGAGCCAACCACAGCTGGGGGTGAATGCAGGCGACCTTCTTGCTTTTTCCACCTCATTGTCAGTAAACTGGGAACATTCTTTCTACCCCACTGTGACATGATATGAACTCCTTAAGGGAAGGAATCTACACGGAAGGCTGACAATCAACTAACGAAATAATTTGTCTTCATTAGAGTCTTACAAAAGTTTTATAAAGTCAAAGTTGAATTGATTACACATTCTTCCTAGCTTTTGTAATCGGTACTTGTTGTGACAGTTACATAGTGATAAAGTTTGGTCTTCACATAGAAAACATGCCCACAACACACTGCGATTAACCACACGGAGAGGTGCAAAGGGTGATTCTGAACATAATAGGATCTGGGTAATAAATTACAGCAGCTCAACTTATTTGCCTATTTTCCATCTTGAGGTGTGGAACCTAATGGCACAGAGAAATCTGAGCTGGTGTGATTTGAATGAGCCATCAAAAATTATGCCGTGTGAAAGTGCCTGGTAAATGTGCAGTCTAGGGAGACTGTGAGCATCTGAACCAAGGGAGCAGACCACTGTCACTGTACTACCCGAGGCCCTAAGAACTTACTGAACAGAAAGCTCTAAAACCAAATTTCCTTCCTACGGAAAGAGGAGTAGCATCTGTAGATTGTCATGAGGAGGAATGCACGCACAGGGAGCACTAACTGACTTAGTGGGCTATCGAGAAGGAGGAGGAGTCTGAGAGGGAGGAGGGAGGAGGGAGGACAGGAAAAGGATGATAAGGAATAATGAACTTGGGAGAGGGACTTATTGGGGAGATATGGGGATAAATGAATGGAGTAAATGGGGGGTGGATATATTCAAATGACATTTTCAACAGTAAAAATATTTGTAGAATATTTGAGTTTAAACCAATTTAAATAAAAGTAATGTGTATGTGCAAACTATAGAGAACAATATAGCATAACTGCTGGGGGAAATTATCTACTATTTAAAGACCCTTTATTGAGGGATTGAGAGATAGCTCAGTAGGGAAAGGTGCTCTCTGTAAAATCGTGGGGACCTGACTCCCAGGACCCACATGTAAACACTTCCAGGAAAGTTAAATGCACAGCTATAATCCCAGTGCTGGGAAAGAAGATACAACTTGATCCTGAGGGTTGTAACCAGCCCACATAGTCTCCTTGGTGAGTACCAGGTCAGTGAGGGCCCCTGTTTTAATGAGACAAGGTGGACTGTGCTTAAGAAATGACACCCAAGGTCACCTCTGATCTCTTCACACATGTACACATAAATGTGCATGCACCCATACACATGTTCATCAACATGCACACATACACACAAAACGTTGAAATGAACTTAAACACATAAATGGAGATTAACCATATCTCATGCATTTTCTTCTTTGGAGGCTTAAGGAAACTAAGCAAAAGTGCTATTCCTTCTACTTCCTAGGGGCAGCCTAAGATAGCATTAGCTTTGACTATGGAAACCAGAGAAATCGGGGTTGGGGATTTAGCTCAGTGGTAGAGCGCTTGCCTGACAAGTGCAAGGTCCTGGGTTTGGTCCTCAGCTCAAAAAAAAAAAAAAAAAAAAAAGGAGAAAACCAGAGAAATAAAAAAATTATAAATGCATGCCTTGTTCAAGAAAAACTTAATTTCTTAGTGGTCTTATGATCAGTTCTCAAGTAATAAAATTAAAATAGAAATAAGGCAAAAGCAAAGAGTCCTAAATGCTACACAAAATGTGTTTTAGAAACCGCACAACACTTTTTCTATTACCTATTCACCACACTACATCTTTTATCAGTTATCACTCAGAAAGAGAAATGGTGACTATGCCCAAGGCCTCAGAAGCATGTGAGTTCATGCAAAGCCGGGCAGGCTCACTTTCTCGGCAAGCAAAGGTGGAAAACAGAGAAGCAAGCACACCTGCTGCCTTTCTCCTGCTTCTAAATGAACTGCACCAGGTCTCAGTATCAGGCCACCACGGGAGACACGCATAACTCTGAGGATTCTTAACCCATCAAGAAGCTGCTTGTGAATACCACAAGGCACCAGGTTCACAAGAGTGTGCAAAGTTATATTTGTATACTCATTAAGCTAACAGTAGTGATATGATAAACATGATCACATAACCATTCAAACAAATACCAAATGTCAGCTGTTGTGAAGGTGCAGGTGTGATAAGCGGAGTAGCATTAGGACCCTATTAGAACTGGCAGGTGTGGGATGGGAGTGCATAGCTCCAGATGTTCTTTGTGAAGAGGGCACTGTGCAACTGAGTTGTTAAAACATCAGAGACAGTGTATGTAGATCAAGGGGAGGAGGACAGAGAAAAGTATGGAGAATAGTTTTCCTTAGGGGACCTGGGGGGACATGAGTGGCTAGGAGAATTCTTAAAGAGTATGACCCATGGCTATTATAACAAAGTTCCATTTATGAATTACTGCTTCAAGCAGACACAGATTTATTATCACATCATTATAGCAGCCAGAAGGCAAAAATCAAAATGTTCTCTCTTGAAGCTAGAAGAGAGATGGGTTTAATTGCCTCATAATTTCTAGAAGCTACTTACAATTCTTGGCTTGTGGTTCATGTCCTCAACAAACAGTTTAGCTTCTTGAGTCTCTGATCTTATAATAATTTTATGATTTCATTAAGTCCACTCAGGTAATTCAAAACTTGAGATGCTCAACTTACCGACATCTACAAAATTCCTTTTTCTTCATGTAAAGTCACATAAATACAGGTTCCAAGAATTAGGACATGGGCATCTTTGAGGGACCTTTATTTAGCCTATTACAATTTCTGCACTCCTTAATGTTGCACATAACTTTGAACTTACTCCTTAGGAGTCATGTTATTATATAGGGTCAAGTTCCTAATAACAGCTAAAAGTACATCCTCCTTAAAAATGAATGTCCATATCATACTGAACAATATGATGTCAAAATATATGGAAAGGCTATAGCTAGTAATTTAAAGATACTTTCATTTAGTAAATGGATCCAAAAGATATCATTTAATATGTCACATTGAGAATGATTTGAGATTCTTCAGAGAGCAGGAACCAGGAAACAGTGGAAGCAGCTTGGGATTCCAGCAGATATTTAGAGAGAGACCAAGAGGGAAGAACTGTGAGAAAAGGACCCTGAGAATGGGTCCTAGGAGGATTTCCAGACCATGAACTGCTTTCTCACCCTAGTGTTCCATACGGTCTCTGTTAAAACCATTTAAAACTATTATGCACACAATAATTCATGGGATTGGACAATGTGCTAACTGAGTATTGAAACCAGAAACAATCCAGAGTGTTCTCAGGATAAGCTCAGGGCTGTCCCCCACCCCTCCCATACACTGTCATTCTGTCTCTGTCTGTCTCTGTGTCTCTGTCTCTCACTCTGTCTCTCTGTCTCTGCCCTCCTCTCTCAGTGTTTCAGAGAAAGTAAGACATAGTTCAACATCCCAAAACTCTCAAGGCATCATGAAGACAAATGGCATAACCTTGGCTATCAGCCTAAAACATCTTTACACAAAAATGTTCTTGTTCATGTTTTATCAGCCACAAGGGCTGGTGAAACTCCTGGTCAGTCTCATTTGAACGGATGGAGTTGATTCCTCTTCCAGATGACATCATTCTGGATGGCAGAACCACAGAACCTCCATTGTGTGGCTTCCCTATGGATGATAACTACATTTTGTTCTTTGAATTGAGCAGTGAAAGCAGTTTTTTTAAAAAAATGAATGGATAATGGCTTTCTGAAGTAGAGATAAAAACATATTTTGGTTGTGAATCTACAGTCTTGGTAAAGTAAATGCCCAAACCATTGTGAAGGAGAAGTACTAGCTTTGCCCTGCTGATTTTGGCAATATTACGGATTTTTATTAAAAGTTGAGAGGCCAACTTTGATAAGATTCAAATGGGAACAAAATCAGTTAGAGAGACAATTTAGTAAATCCCAGGATTTCACAAACCCTCCTGTTCTATCTGTGCTATAGTGCATTTCTCATTATTGCCTTCTGTGTTTAACAAGAAAGAACTCTCTCATTTAAGACGACTTCTAAAAGTAATTCTGTACTTTTCTCCTGAAACTGAAAGTCAAGCGAGACACCAACAAAAGACTTAAGAGAATTTGTCCTTATTCGGTTGTTTTATTTGGATTGGCAAATGCTTTCTCAG